CTGGGCATTTCCTGACTCAGACCAGTAGGTTTCTTACTGCTCTTGTCCATTCCAGTTCCAGATATCTGGAAACTGCCATGTTGGGCTCTGGGCTGATGGAGGCAAGGACCCACCTCCAATTAGCAGCAACCCCGTGGCACTTGGGAAGCCCCTGCTGTCTGTCCCAGCCTGTCTGCATGCTGAACCTCAAGGCATCACAAGTCACAGCTGCAGGTACTCGATGGGGGCCCAGGTGCTGAAGGCTTGGTCACCACCCTGTGGTGACACCAGAAGACTGTGGGTCACGTAGGAGTGGGACCCAGGAAAGAAGCCATGTGAGACTCTGCATGCAGTAGCAGTGGGATTCCTGTCTCTGTCTCCCTGTCTGTCTCTCTCTCCTCCTATCCTTTCCTACAAGAGCACATCAATGCACCCTCTGCAACCATACCGGTTGCAAGTAATCTTACTGTGTTTCCTAACGACGCTTTTCAGAACTTCTCTGCTTACTGTTATGGATGTGTTCTGTGGGACTGCAGTGTTTGCACCCTGGCTGACTTTACAGTATATTAAAAATGGATCCCTGGAAGCAGCCTTCAAGGAGCAAGCGTTTGCAAGTAATTGTAGAAGGATATCTGTGTCATCCATCTGATAGTCTGAACAGCTGTTGCTGACTTTTGACATCCTGCGAAGGGATGGGTCCCTGTGGTGTATTGCAATCGGGCAGCCTGCATGGTGGGCCGGCCCAGGGAACCGTAACTCTCAACCCCGGCCGTGTATCAAAAGGCTGACAGGACGGCGCCATTGCCCTGCTGACATGTAGCTGGCTGCAGAGCAGAACTTTAATTAGTGGCTCCCTTAACAGCCAGGCAGGCTCTGTGGACGTCCCTAAAAAGCCATCTGAGCACTGGGGATGGTGGCTTCTTTGATGCATTAGGCTGAGTTTGTGGTGCACCTTCTACCTGAGCCACAAAATCCTGCCGAGCCTCACTGCAGGCGGTAGTGGCTCTGACATCCTGTCGCCCTGCAGGAGAAAGCTGGGTGGGGCTTCCTTCCTGGTAGCCTTGATCCACAGGGATGAGGATGTGCTGTGTCAGAGGTGTGTGCTCAATGGAAGCCAGTGGTAGACACCTAGGTCTGGGCCTTGGGGTCGGGACTTAGTGAGGAGCTGCACTTTCTGGGGGACACAGGTTCCCAGAGGCCCTCTGTCCCTCGCTTCCTGTCCCTAAGGGCAGCCACCGTGCAGCCCAAGAAGATGCCGAGGTGCCATAAGGGCAGAGCCCTCCTGCACCTGCCTCCCAGCCCCAGCAAGATCTCCGCTCCTCAGCTGCTGCTTCTGGCACCCTAGCTTCACTCCATATTTTCTTTCCTGTTGGCTTTCTATCTTGCCTCTGTGCATGCCTCTAAGCATCCTCCAATCTTCTACTACCAGAGCCTGTCCTGTTTCTCCTGCCAAGGTGGATCTGCTCTTGGTTCCTCATCTTCCAGGTCTCATTTCCCTCCCTGGCTTGTGCCTCTAGGAATTCAGCCCAGGATACATTGCAAACACACAGGAAGCCCAGTAGAGGGGGGCTCTGCTCTGAGCGTGTCCCTCCAGAGGAGTGAGTGTCCAGCACCATGCCTGCCCCAGGCTCTGGCCTCACTGCAGCTTCTCTGCACTCTCCTGCAGGGAACTCAGCCCAGGAGGGGAAACTGAAGGGAGGGGGAGACAGGGCCAAGGTATGGGCTGATGCAGGACCAGCCTGGCTCCTGCTTGTGCAACCTCAGTTGGTCATAAGGCCACTGAAGTGCGGTTTCCCCTGGGACAATGGAAGCAGTGAAGATTCTCAAAGCCAGGACTATTGCAGAGTGTTGCAGCAGGTGCCTGGGAAAACATTCAGTGCCGTGTGGGTGATAAGCAAGTTCCCCGTGGTTTCCATTCTTCCAGCCCTGCTTCCCTCCTTCCTGCCTTCCTCTCCCTCACTCCTCTTTCTTCCCCTTCCCCTCTGTGCTGGTCTGTTTCTCAGTACTCTATGAAACCGCTCCAAGCAGGCCATGTTATAAAGAGAAGTGGCCTCTCTGGTCCTGCAATTCTGGAGCTGCCAGGTCTCGGCCTGGTCCTCCTGCTGGCCCTGGCACTCCTGTTGCCGGAACCCCAAGACAGCAGCGCCATTGGCAAGAGACAGTAGGTGCACTGTGCCCGCTTGACTCTTCCTGGTCATGTAAGCCAGGAGCAGATCTAACCCTAGTCACCTTCCCAGGCCGCCAACCCCAGACACCATGCTCAGATCCACTCTCTTCAGACCACGACCACAGGACCTGGGGAACAAATTCCTGAGTAAGCTGTCAGGGGAGGAGTACAAGCAAACCATGGCACCCTCATCCTCTTCTCTCCCTCCTTCTGCCTTCCCTCCCTCCCCTCTCCCCACTCCTCAGCCTCAGACACTAGGGCAGGGGAAGATGAATTGAGCCCTAAACTGCTATTTCAGAGGACAGCACAGATACCCCCGAGCTATGACGAAATTGACTGTTGAAAGGACTGTAACCAGACAGAGCCCTTGCTCTGCGGAGAAGAGGAAGGTAAGATTAACACTGCCTGCGGGGACAGGAAGGTGATGGGCCTTTCAAGTCTGCCTGGGTTTGTGCCTTGGAAGCCCCTGCTCTGCTAGGCTCCAGGCTGGCCGGAGGCTGAGCACACACCAAGCCTGGCTACAGACAGCACTTGCTGAACGGCTGAGTCCAGCACATAGGGAAAAAATGGAAGCAATAAACTAGGTGAAACCAGGGCCTGGTGACAGAAATAGATCATATTCCTGCGGCACTTTTGGGGTCGTATCCATTTGGAGATTTTCTCTCTTGCCTTTTAAACACACAAAAAAAGATCCTATAACCCCAGGTGACTGGTTAGACACTACAAAAGTGCCCCTGATGGAGACTTCTGTGTCCCCACTGCCTGAGAGATTTGTCTGCTGGCACTGTGGCCTGGAAGGAAGGAAGGAAAGAAGGAAGGAAGGAAGGAAAGAAGGAAGGAAGGAAGGAAGCAGAGGAGAAAGGAGGGAAGAGGAAGAGCAGAAAGAAGGGGGAGGAAGGAAAGTGGATTAACATGTTTCACTGGAAATAAACTGCAGAATTCTTCAATGTTGGCAAAGTCTTCTATATGCTGAGCTCAACGCTGTCTGGGTCTGGTTCTGTCACTGAGGTTAAAAGCTCTCCTGAAATTGCTTCCCAGTGGCATCACCTTTGAGGGGATCTGCCAGCCACGTCTGATTTGGAAGCAAGGTGGAAAAGTGGGACCACCCAGATCCCACTTGGAAACTTACTATTCTAAGGCTTCTTCTTGCAAACTGACAGGCCTCACGAGGGGATTTCCACGGGGGTCCAAGTTCCCAGGGGACCCAGATAGGGTCAGGACCAATTGAGAAAGGTCATTTCCCCTCCATCCACCCCCAAGTGACTTGGCAGTGGAATCCTTCATGCTGTGACCCTGGGAGGAGACTTGCTGGTAAAACACACAGCTCATTTCACACTGGAAAAGAATCCACAAACAGGGAAAGGTGCCTCTTGTCTGCGTGTTGGACCCACACACCGAACATCCCACCTCTACCCCAATTTTTATCTTGACTGCACTGAGCGATCTGTGGAATTTGTAGCTGAGGCTTCACAAAGACACAGGAGCCACAGGTGCTGAGGGCCAAGAGAGCGGCCATCCTGCGTCAGAGAAGCACTGCAAGGGCAGTGGCCATCCAGCTCCAGCCCACAAGCAAGGCAGAGACTGTCCTGTCCAGTGGTGACAGGACAGAGTGAGACAGAGGAAGGCGGAAGCACTCAGATCTCCCTGCAGGTGAAAATTACCCTGAAGAGTTTTGGGAAATCCTGTAGCCAACCTTGCTAAATCTTATTTTGTTGTTCGATGCAGCAGAAGAAATGCAGTGGCCAGGCCTTGCCGTTCTTTCCAGCAACTTATTTAAACCTGGCTGGACTAACATAAAGAGAGGGTGAGAACTCCCAGCTGAGAGGCTGAGGCAGGATGTTTGTAACTCATAGAACCTCTCACAAAAACAAGGTGGGGTGTGATAGGACAGCAGGTGGTATCAACCTCCTGAAGAAGCAGACAGGCAGAGTGGGGGGCAGGAGACAGAGACAGAGAGAGAGAGAGAGAGAGACAGAGAGAGAGAGAGACAGAGAGAGAGAGAAACAGAGACAGAGAGACAGAGAGAGAGACAGAGAGACAGAGACAGAGACAGAGACAGAGAGACAGAGAAAGAAAAACAGAGATAAAGGAAGGAATAGTTAGGACACAATTCACCCCACAGCGCACTCCACTCCTGCCCGCAGCAGAGCACCTAGCCTGCCAGGGAAACGGGGCGAGTTTATCACCAGAGTATTTTTTAGGGATCATAAAATAACATAACCCCTTCCCTGGGAATGAGCATTTCTATAAAAATTCCACCTCCAAAGTTCACAGGTTGATTTGAACCGGCACCACTGACCTGTACTCCTTTATCAAAACTAGAACATTAAAAAAAAAAAAAAAAAATTTCATGGTCAGGACCAAAGGGCAAACACAAACTTGGACCACCCAGACCCCACTTGAAAATTTACCATTCTAATAAGTTAACAGTGACAATGATGCTAATAACAATAATATTAATAATAATAATAGATGTTTCTCTTCATGGTAGAAGACAAAAAGAGGCAGCCTCTCAAAGTGCGCTGCTTGGATTTTTAGGGAAGTTTCTTTCTGTTTAAAGCATATGCCTCCAGGTTTCAGTGTAATAGTGGCAAGCAAACCGAAACTCCCATTCCCACAGTCCCTGTGAATCTGGCCTGCGAGTTCCAAACTGCAGTTTGGTTTACAACCGTGGCAAAACCAAGCTGTCTACTAAGAGGAAAAAGCCAGAGGGGGCAAATCAGGGAGGAAGAAATTAAAGAATAAAGAGAAGCAGGCAAGAGGAGAGGGCAGGCGGGCTCGCGTGGTGGCGCGCGCGGGGACAGGTGGGCCGCACAGGGGCGCGCGCGCGGCGGGCTGTCCCTACCCGGCAGCCGAGGCGCGTGGGGCGGCAGGGGCGGCGCGAAGGCTCCACGCCAGGCTGCGCACGGCTCGCTAGCCGAACGCGCTCCGGGCTGCTCCAGCCCCCCGGACGCGGGAAGCAGGCTGCAGAGCTCCGGCGGGGAAGAACCAGGCGGAGCTCCGGGGCGCCCTGCCTCCTCCTGGGGACGCGGGGACAAGACCCGGAGGGCGGCGCGGGCACTGCCCGAGTTGCAGCCGCGACCCGCAGCTGCCGAGGGATGAGCTGGCCAGGGCAGACGCCTTAGCCGGGTGCACGCGCCGGGCGGAGCGCGCAGGTGGGACTGCGCTCCCCGCGGTCCACCCTGCACGGGTCCCCGGCCGGCCGAAGGATGGGCGCTGGTGCCCTGGGGCCGCGCCCGCTGCAGCTGCTCCCGCGCCAGCCGCGAGCCCGGCGTCCGGCCCGAGTCCCGCGCTCATGTACGTAGGCTGGGCGCAGGGGCCCAGGCGAGGGTGCATGCGGGGTTCCGACCCCCGCCCGTCGCCCAAGTTTGTAAATCGGGAGATCCACTACGGGCTGTGGTCGGCCGGCCCAGGGATGGAGGAAGCAGAAGGCGGGCGGGACTCGGCCTCAATGGAGAGGGAGGAGGGGCTGCGAGGCCAGAGGCGCGGGAGAGCACTAAGGGCGGGAGCGAGGGGTCCCGCGGAGGGGGCTGGCTCATCCGGGTTCAGTGCCATCAGGGACAACCTGGGCCCCTTTGGGCTGCAGAAACTTTGGGGCCCGGAAAGGCTGCCGGGCGTCCCTCCAGCGGCATCGCCCTGAGCCTACCCTGCGTCCTGCATCCCAAGCCATCCGACTTGTGCATGGACCTGACCCCCAGGAAGTGCAGTTCCAGGATGAGCGCTGCGCTTGCCTCCCGGTCCCAGAACCGCGGGGCTCCGGATCCCTACCCTGCAGAGCGAGGAGGGGACTAGGTCTTCCTTCCGGGCCGCGCAGGTGCGGCGGGGAGGGAGCGATTAGGAAGTTACAGATGAGTCTCTGAGGTCCCCAAAGAAGCCTGGTTATCCGCGCCTCCCGGATTTCTCCAGAGGAGACCCCTAGGAAAGGCTTCTCTTTCATCTTCCCAGCCCTGCGGGTTCGACTCCATTGCGGGATTCTCCACTGATCACCTTCGGAAAGTGTGGCCAGGACCCAGGGAGGGAGGGACAGCCCCAGCCCGGAGCCAGAATCCTGTGGGGTTTCGTGCGAGCTTTGCGGGAGACCCGGCTCGCCGCATTTCCCGCGACCATCTCCACGCTCCTCGAGATCCCTGGAGACCCGCGTGTTTTCTTGGACTTGGCTTCCCATGCATGCGTTTTTATGGGCTCGGGTCCCATGCACTGCTGCGCAATCCGTGGGGTCTAAGCTCCCCACTGCGCCCCGCGTGCCCCTCTAGGGCGATGCCCGGGCCGGGGAGCGCGCGGGCCGCGGGGCTCAACGCGGCTGCTGTTCTCTCCACAGGGACGGCGGCTCCCGGCCGGCGGCGGCGCGTCCCCGGGCTGTGAATGCGCCTCAGCCCCCGCCCGCGCTCCGCGCCCGCCTGCCCGCCGGGACACGGTAGGGGATGCCCTGCTCCGCGGCGATGGCAGTGGGCGCGCTCTCCAGCTCCCTACTGGTCACCTGCTGCCTGATGGTGGCTCTGTGCAGCCCGAGCATCCCGCTGGAGAAGCTGGCCCAGGCGCCGGAGCAGCCGGGCCAGGAGAAGCGCGAGCACGCGTCCCGGGACGGCCCGGGGCGGCTGAGCGAGCTGGAGCGCGCCGCGAGGGACGAGGGCGGCGGCGCCCGCGAGGGGAAGGGCAAGGGCGGCCGCGGGCTCAGCGGCCGGGAGGCGTGGAGCAAGCAGAAGCAGGCCTGGGCTGCTCTAGGCGGGGGCGCTGAGGCCGGGGACTGGCAGGGGCGACCCCGCGGGGACACCCCACAGGGGGAGCCCCCGGCCGCCGCCGCCCAGGATGCACTCAGCCCGGACCTGGTGCCCACGCCGGAGCTGCCCGAGGAGTACGCGTACCCGGACTACCGCGGCAAGGGCTGCGTGGACGAGAGCGGCTTCGTGTACGCGATCGGGGAGAAGTTCGCGCCGGGTCCCTCGGCCTGCCCGTGTCTGTGCACCGAGGAGGGGCCTCTGTGCGCGCAGCCCGAGTGTCCACGGCTCCACCCGCGCTGCATCCACGTCGACACCAGCCAGTGCTGTCCGCAGTGCAAGGAGAGGAAGAACTACTGCGAGTTCCGGGGCCAGACCTACCAGACTTTGGAGGAGTTTGTGGTAAGAGGCAGACGCCACCTCCCCGGCCACTGGGCAGCTGCTAGGGCTGCGTGTCCCCCTGCGTGGAGCGGAGATGCTCCATGGGCCCCAGGGGTGGGGTCGTGGTGCTGCCGCCTGGAATGCGACCTCTCTTAAAGGCTATGCATCCTTCAGAGCGTGCCGTGACTGGTGCCCAGTCCTTGCCAGCGTTCGTTCGCTGTAACAGGGTTCCATTAGCAGGAAGCACATGGCTCTGGCAGGAGCTGCTGCAGCAGTTATGAGCCCTGTACTTTTAAACGTAGATTCAGGGTTCCTAATCTAGAAGCGGTGTTGGTGAAATGCTCAGCGTGTTTGCAAACAAAGGGCAATTTACCGTGCCACTCGGGGTGCATGCTTCAGCTAATAGCTCATTAAGGAGACTGTTCATAGAAAGAAGCCATTTCCTTCCAGTTTGTGTTCAAAGTATCATGCAAACCGCCTGAAAACTAAGAGGAAGGAAGGTTTGCTCCCTAGGTGCTAATCTCTATGCATGCCAGAATCAAGCAGCCCAGTCCAAGGTTCAGAATGGCTTCCTGTCTGGGAATAGTAACCTATCCAGGGGCCTGGTCTTTGCCTTAATTGCTGTGTTGGGCTTGGCTGCGTATTTCCTACAGGCCTTGGTTTAGTCCACCTCATGCTGGGCTAGAAAGCAGGTGGTTGGCATCTCCACTTCACGGAGGAGAAGAGGAAACTGAGGCACAGAGCATTAAATCCTTGGCTGGAGCCAGTGATGCTGCAGGAAGGCTCATTCTCATGTGTTACTTACTAAGTGTTCTCTGTAGCTCATGTTTTAACCCTTACGCTGCCCTTGAACCGAAAGCCGACCCACACGTGCACTGGTCCTAGGTAAACCCTGGCCTCGGCCTGGGAGAGGGCACCGTGTGGAGCATCCACAGCTCTGTGGCAAGGGCTGCACTCCTGCATCCCTGGACCTCACTTTTAACTTAGCCATGTCAGAGATTTTCTTTTCCACCTGCAGAGGGCGACCTGAAACCTTCAACTCTTAAAGCAGAGCTTAGAAGGAGCAAGATTTAGGAATCACCCCTGAGATGGGAGGACTCCAAGACCCAGGATGTGCAGGTCACGGGAATGGGTCGGGAATGGGTCGGACCAGTGAGTTGGCCAGCTTTACAGGGATGTAAACGGGCAAGGGCGGGTGTACAGAGAACCGAGAAGGCAGGGATCCTGTGGAGGGCGCCCGGGTTTAGAGTCAGGAAGCATGGGTTTGCAGTCTGCTCTGGCCACTATCCAGGAAGTACGTGTCCCCTCTGGTTTCTTGTCTTTCCTCCGTCAGCTCTCTCTTGGGCTCATAGGCAAGGCGGGCTCATAGCTCTGGACATGCATTGTTATGACAGTCTGCTTCAGCTCTCTGGAGAAAGAACTTGGGGGTGAAAATCCCCCATGAACCAGGCCCACCAGTGCTCACAGAGCCAGGGACTTTCTCCTGGAGAGTTGGCAGATACCTTCCAAATGTTTTGGATGCTACACAATAAAGCATAACCTAAAGGCACCCGTGGGTGCTGAGGGGCCCAGAGGCTTCCATCTTGGCCTGGGGAAGGTCACAGACTGCAAGAAAACAGTTCCCTTAAGTGTTTGGGTTCACAGGACAATCACACTCTTAAAATCAAAGATGAGCAACGAGTTTTAAGTCATAACATTAGGTATAATTCATAACTCTGCGTCTGCACCATTCAGAGTCCCGTAGGATGGTCCCCTGAGCCCAGTTGAGGAATTCTTAGCACCTTGGTTTTAGGACCTCACACTATTCTGGGCGTCACTCACCACCTCGAGATCCCAGGTAGAAAGAGGGATTCAGCCTTCTGGTTTTGTGGCCAACCACAAGAAACCTGGCAGCTGCTCCTGCCCATGGGTGATGTGTTACCTGACCCCTTTTAGTCAGTAGGTCCAGGAAGTGTTTCCAAGCCCTAGAGAGGAGAGAGAGGAAAGTGACAGCCATTTAAGCATTGGACCTTTCCAAGCCAATAAAGCTGTTTTAGAGTATTGTATACACTTTCCATCTTCCATGACATTTCACCTTTAACTTCCATGCAGCCTGGCCAGATACAAGGAGGTGCATATGAATGTTGCAAATCTTTTTCCAATTCTTTGCCACATTGTTTCCAGTATAATACTCCACCTGCATAAGGCTTTTACTGTGTGGTACCATGTTTGTCCTTGCTACTTGGCCTGCAGCTTTTTGCAAGCCCTATTGTGTGTCCATTTTTGTTTCTATGGTGCACAAATATGGTGCTGACATCATAGCACTGTGGCAGGGTGTGGAGACAGGAGTGTGGAAGAAACCGGGTCAGTCGTGCATGCCAGGTGTCTGTGGGTGGCAGTGCCCCCAGACGATTAGCATGCCCTGCCCAGGTACTGTGTGCTTCAGAGAGAGATACTCTGCTGTCTGGAGTTTGCATAGCACAGAGCAGATGGGAGATACAAAAGAAAAACGTCTGTCTGAAGTGCTTTGCGCTTCTCTGAAGAAGAGTCAGTCAGATGGAGGTCAGGCCAGGACGCTGTGGGGTGGGATCATGCTTCGAATGGTATTTACCTTCGTGCTGATGCTGGAAGTGAGAAAGGTGGGGCCTGGACCCCAGGCTCTGCAGAAAACGATGGTGAGCTTCCTGAGAGCGGACATTGCCCCTGATGGAGGCTGCATGTCCCCCCGGTCCGAGAAGAACCCCAGACAGTGCCCTGTGCCGTGAGGTAGGGGTATCCATCTTGACAGAGGGCGGCTTCTCTGCAGCTTCCGGTGCTTTCTGACTTGGGCACACATTTTCTTGCCACTTTCTCTGCTGCTTTCTGCAGATTTCAAACCAGTCCTTCCTCTTCTCCCTGAATACTCTGGCCCAAGAAAACTCCTCTTCTGCAGTAACCCACACCTGTAGTACTAGCATTCTGGGAGGCTGAGGCAGGAAGATCACAAGTTTGAACCCAGCATGGGATACTTAGTGACTTATTAAGACTTTGCCTTAAAACAAATAAACAAACAAGACAAGATAAAAGGGCTATGGATATAGTTCAGTACAAAAACCCTGAGTTCCATCCCTAGTACTGCCAAAGACAAAACAAAACAAAAACCCTCCAGTTCCCCACTGCCTGTTTGATCTCTGCCACCTGTTGGTAGACAACATCCCTTGCTCAACAAACTGAGCTGTCAATAGCCGGCAGTACTCGGGAGAGTAACGCCCCACTCCTCAAGGGACGCTTGTCATTTAATTGGTATGTGCATAGAGGAAGTGCATAGTGCAAGCTCCAAACATACTAAAAAAAAAACATGATTAATTGATAAGAAGCATTTAGAATTTCCCCACTGCCTCTCTTGTGCTCCAGCTTCCACAGCAGACATCCACCTTTGAGCAGGGAAGCTTGTCTGTGGATCTCCTGGGCAACTGTGGCAAAATCCTCTGCTGGGGTTGCTTAAACTGCAGTTTGCTTCAACTCCCTCAGTCCCTGCTGAAGACATGGGAAGGGTCCCTGTCTTCTGAGCCTCTGTCCTTGGCTTCTAGGTGGCCTTTTGTCTCCCCTGTCCTGCCTGCCACCATATCTGCACCCAGATTTCTTCTTGTGCGTCCTCTTCAGGGACTGCTGGGGAGTGTACTAAGCAAGTGTTCTCCCATGGAGCTGCACCAGCCCCACATCACTGGCTCTCAGGAGGCTCCTTCTGGGTCGGAACACACTCTCCCAACCTCATTTTAACTTGAGTTCCTCTCCCATGCCTTGTCACCAAGCACTGTTCATCCTGAGGTGTTAAGAGTCAGTACTCTGATATCCGTGCCTTCCAGAATGTAGGGGGCAGAAGACTCGGGAAGTACAGGCACTGCCCTGTGCAGAGGAAACATAAGCAGGGAAATGGGAAGGAAGAAGGGGTTCTGGGAGCAAAGAAATGCCAGTCAGAGCCCCATGTGCCCACCTGGCTGTGTACCTAGTGGGCCTGAGGTCACCAGAGGAGCGCTTTTCTGCCTTATGTGAATGGGTTGTGTGTGGCATGCAACACGGTTTTAAATCCACTCCTGGTGATTATCGCCCAGTGAGGAGCACACCAAGTGTGAACTCCAGTAACAGAGATAACTCTATTTGGATGGATTCTGTGCTGCTCCTGCCAGTGGGAATTCTGGTCCCCTGGGGTACTGTGAGGGTTGACATGGGAGTCTGTGACTCTGTCTCAGGGTTTGCCTAGGAGCCGCTTGGATTTAAGGAGTTTTAAGAAATGAGGACATGCACAGAAATAGAAAGTGCACGTTGCTTTGCTTTTGGTTGGGATGATACAAATCAGGGCACCCACACTGTTAGCACGGCCAGTCTGAAGCGCTGAGTGGCAATTGCAGAAGTCTTTGAAGAAAAACAGAAAATGAACGATTAATCAGTGCTGCTGGTCCAGGCTGTCTTTCAGAGCTGGAGGGCTGTGGAGAGGAGGTAATGGGAAAGATGCCTGCGGGAGAATTGATCTGTGACCGCCGGGCTAAACCCAGCTGCTGTCCGCAGGCAGCTTCAGGACCTGAGCTCCACTACAAGACCTCCTTTCCAGACTTTTATCAGTGAAAAGATATTTCGACATGAGATTGGGTACCAAAACCTCCGTCTAAATAGATCTTTGTTGTGGTTCTGAGAACAGGCCAGTAAAGAGAAAGATGCAGTTAATCACACGATTTCTGTGAGATAGCATCCATCTATCTGTCTGTCTGTCTATCTATCTCTATCTATCTGTCTGTTGGCTGATGTTACTTAACCAACATCAGTGCCATAATTATCTGCCTTCATAGAACAAAGTAAATCTCTGTGAGTTTCAGGCCCTTTTCTTCAAGTCAGTCTAATGCATGAGCTGTTGCTGCATTGGAATTTTTTTTTAGTACGATCCTACAAATTAGGGACTTGTTAGTTCCTGCTTTTCTCTCCAAAGCCATTTAAAGAGTAACATTTTTTTTTAAAAAGTCTGTATGGCTTTTTTGAACCTCCCAAACGTGTCCCTAACTCACGTTGGG